TTGTATAAAATAATAGACCATCTATTAGTTCGTAATGGGCCGCCCTATTTCTTATCGCCACAATATCTTGGTGGCTAAAATTTTCAGGATCCTTTAAATACTCATAAATGCTTCCAAACTCAGGATCCTTACCCAGTTCGGTTATTACAGTTTCTCGGGAATTTATTGTATATGCTGTGAGCATTGCCACCTTTACAGTATTACCTTCTTCATCTATTTTAATTCTGGATAGGGCATCTGCTACGATATTTTCCTTTCCAGGGGTATGCTTGATTACCAGATTATATTCTTTTAGCTTGAGTGCCCATCTTATTAACCTTGGGGATAAGTTTTTCCCTGAGTACAATCTAGTTACCGCCGCATGATCAGAGTACACTGTTATTGGCGCCTTTCCAAAATAGACTCGGAACTTTTGCACTACTAACAGAACTGCAAGTGCCTCTCTCGGTTGCGGAATAGTTTCTTTGTGTTTGATTTAAAGTTCGGCTAAAAAATGCCACGGGCTGCTGATTTTGTGAAAGTACCGCTCCTACCGCATAATCCGAAGCATCCGCTGAAATTTCTAAATTCTCATCCTTTTCAGGAAATTTCAACACAGGGGCTTGCGTTAATGCTTGCTTTAATTTTTCGAACGCACTATTGGCTTCGGCCGTCCACGAGAATCTTGCCTTTTTCCTTTTAAATTTTAACAATGGTTCAGCAATAGCTGCAAAATCTTTTATAAAGGACTTATAATATGAACAAAGTCCTAGAAAAGAAGAGAGCTTCTTCGCCATGTTTGGAGTCAGATACTTTTGTACAGCAATTATTTTTTATTCGTCTGTCTCGATTCCTTTCTGAGATATTTTGTAACCTAAATATTTTAATTCAGGGGCTGCAAATTTGCACTTTTCGACATTAACTTTTAGACCGGCCTCATTTAATAAAGAAAACACCTGTCTTAAATCCTGTACATGTTGGTCGAGATTATCACTAGTAATAATGATATCGTCTAAATAGATAAATGTGGACTTTCCAAGAACAGGCCTTAACACAATGTCCATACATCGCTGAAATGTTGCCGATGCCCCTGAAAGGCCAAACGGCATACGCAGGAATGCATAAGTGCCAGACTTGGTTATAAAAGCAGTCTTAGGCACGTCCTCAGGCCTAACCCCTATTCGAAAATAACCAGTCGTTAAGTCTAAAGTCGTCATATATTTGGTCGATGTTATGTTCCTTAGAATTTCTTCAATAATAGGTAACGGATATACCGGATATTTAGTTATGGAGTTTAATTTACGGTAGTCAATCGCGAATCGCCACCTTTTTGGATGTGTCAATGGATAGTCATTATTTTTCTTACATAAAACCACCGTCTAGCATAACTACTTGAGATGGGCGTTATGATCTTTTTACGTAGCATATCGGTGATATGCCATTGTATAATTTTTTCCTTATTCTTATCATACCGATATGCTTTGTGGCGAACTGGCATTGAATCTCCGGTGTCAATACTATGGTTAGTAACCTGAGTAAATCCTGGAATATCACTAAATAACGAAGCAAATTCACTTACCACTTGTCGGATTCTTCGTTGCTCTTCATTAGGCAGGTGGTCAAGGTTTAACATCGGCGGTTCAGCCTTTTCTTCTGGAACTGGTTTCATCGTCAGCTTAAGGGACGTTTCATTAAAATCCAGCGTTGCTTGTTCCTCTGAAAGAAAATCTATTCCTAAGATAATATGTGCTTGCAGATTCTTTACTATGAAAAACATAACCTTTACTTGTTCGTCCTTAATACGGATGTATAGCGGTAATTTACCTATGCACTTACATCTCTCTCCTTGCGCAGCTAACACTGTCGTATTATCCGAATTATATATGCGATATTTACGAAAATACTTCCTAAAAAAATCTTCTGCCACACAGGAACACTGCGCGCCTGTATCCAGGAGTGCGGTGGCTGGGATATTATTCACCAACACTTCAATCTTCGGAAGAGTCAAATTTTTCACCATTACTGTATTTAACTTGAAGGAAGAGGGGTTTTCTTTCTTGGCCTTCGGATTTCCGCACCCTCCCGTCAGCAGAAATCCGTTTTAGTTTAAAAATCATTTTTCATTTCCATGCTTTCCTTCTTCTTTTTCCACTGGCCTTCAGACTTTTTTCCTGGATTGCTATTGAACTGTCGACGTTCGCCGGCTGTTTTTGAATGCTCGGGTTTCCTTGCCCACTGATTTGCTTTGCTTCCGTAGCCGTGTGTTTGCTGTGGTCTTGGCGCACCAAATTGGTTTCGTTGTTGATATTGGCGTCTTCTTTCAATGTCCGCCGTTCTTCTACTTTCAAACTGGATTGCTAGCTCAAATAATTTTTCCAGTGTAGTCGGATTCCTTAATTCAATAAAGTCTTGCACTTGGGGAAGTAACCTCGGCAAAATCACTTGAATTATCTCAGGATCCAGATGGTTTCCATACAAGAGTTTGAAGACGTGAATTTTTCTTAAAATAAAGTTTGAGAGATTTTGGATTCTTTGCTGATATATGCTGAAAAGTTCCGTTTCTAATTTCGCACGATCCCTTACGACGACAGGGAAGGCTTTTACTAGGGCAGTCTTGAAATTCTCGTAAGTATAGGTGGGACTTCCTGCTTGACCCAAGAGACTTCTGCCTATACATTTGAACCAGTTAAGCGCTTGGCCCCTCAAAGCGCTGGTAGCTAAGGTAACTTTTTGAAACTCGTGCACGGGGTAGAGCATGAAGTGGTCATCCAATTTTTCCAAAAAACTGGTTACCGGTGAGTTTCCATTAAATGTTGCTTCTGGTTTCATCATCGAAGCGCGCATGGTCTGGACGATGTAAACCAAATCCTTCCAGGGCGGCAGCTGGCATTTCTGGATTCTGAGCCGTTTCTGCTCTGCAGGCAGCACAGGTTCTTCTTGAAACTCGGCCATGGTTATTCTTCTTCGTTGGGCGCCACTATCAGGTTCAATGTTCCGTCTTACTTTCTTTGGGAACATGCACAGACCTGACTCGGAACAGGGAGCTTACTAAAGCTATGTTCAATTACTGTGGGAAGTAGACAAGATACACAGGAAGGGTATACAAAACCCTTTATTTTTCACTCTTTACAATAATTTCCGTACTCGGAATACAGAGACCAACTACTTGTGGTCTGAACATAAGAATATAAAAATATAACTATAACTTAAATTTGGAATAATCAACAAGGGCCTACGTGTAAGATTGGCCGGATATTAGCAGGAAGCCGTATGTAGTACAGAGAGCTGTTAACACTACAATATGTTTAAAATTATCACGAGGATTAAACCTCTGGCCTGGAAGGCAAACAGCAACCGAGTAAAACAAGCGGCCTGCTTCGACTAACTCCTTCCTCTCTCTCGCTTGGCAAAAAGCCACAACTTAAGTACTTGGCATTCGCCAGACAAATTTTGCATGAATAAGTTAACGCTTTTAATTCTGGCCGGAAGTAGAAAATAAGAAGTGATAGTAAATATTTTAAAATAAAATAAACTTTAGTAAAACTTAAGATCCTTACAGTAGTTTCATATATTAAATTCATATATTACAGTAGTTTCATATAGATAAAGATTATTTGTAAACCATGGAGTGCAGGTTAGGAAACAAATTAAATGTAAATTTTAATTTATATTATTTCATTCATAATTGCTGTTTTTTGTGTTTGAAATTTTATTGATCTGTCATTGCTTTGTATTATTGCTAGTGAATCACAATTTTGAAAATTGTTCCTGCTGTTATTACATCAGCTTGGCAAAAAATTTTTTTAACATTTCCTGGACTATCCTGTTCTAGAACCTCCTATATACAGGGTGGTAAAAGTGTATCATAAATGACAAAATTTCACTGCAAAAAATAAGAATCTTGGAAACTGCATAGGGTCAACAGCCACAGAGGAAAGAGGTAAACTTTGAAGGTATATTAAGGTCGGTTGACATGCTGCAGCAGTTAACTCCCAAATGAATTGCCGGCTTGCCTGCCATAGTTGTTCCCAAAATTGCAATTCATGTGAATGGGCCATTCCAGCAACCAAATGGTCACAACACTTATTCTAACATCTGTTAATCAGCAAGAGGCTGAAATTGGCATGACCATATTGTGGTTGATCTCTACTGAAGGCACCCTTTTTCTAATTGGTAGCAGATCTTCAATAATGAACAAAAGGTTTTCTCTGATTAATTATATTTTTTCTAACAAATGGTTGTTGGCACGTACACAAGAAACACTCAAAAAGCAAATACCCCTCAACCTTTTGTAGGTGAATTCAAGCTGGCAAAGGCAATTTTATATTCTGGAAAATGCTCTTGTGGCATTCTGTGCAATTACTCATCATTATAGATGCTACTATGGATTGCATCCACATATACTCATATATTCAGATTTTGTTTAATGACCTCTTCCAGCACAGCAAATGCACAGGGAGCCAGAGTTTTCAGTGCCCGGGGATAACTGAAGAATTTGCACCCCTTTCTGTGTGCCGAGGATGGAAAACATTTCATTAAAAAATTTCGTAGCATCAATTTGGCGCCCCTTGGATGCTGCGCCCGGGGACAGATGTCCTCCCTTGCCCCACCCTAGCTACGCCACTGGCAATGCAGCATGCCAAAGAGCTCAGGATGTATGTGAGTGTCTGAGAGAGTACAAGGACTTTACTGTACTTTCCTAGTTCCCAAATTCCCCACACGTAAACCCAATCAAGGATCTGTGGGATCACCTCTGTTCTGTTGTTTGCTGTGAGGATCATTCACCATGCTCCTTCAGCAACAGTGTCGGATGTTATATGCCTATCGGATGCAGTTGCAGATGCTAAAAATAATAGATTTCGTATTCTGATTACTCAGTGTTATATAATGCAACAAACTTTTCTTTTTTTTTATTTCTTATTTCCTGTAATTTTCATAGTTATGATGTTGTTTATTATTATGCATTTACATTTAATTAAGTATTTTGTTTCTTTTTTATTAACAAATCTATTTGTTTTCAGTTTTTATTCTGACTTTGGACCACTCAATCTTGCAAAACTATATCGTTACTGTTGTAAACTAAATAGGAAATTAAAGGTAAGGTTACTTTTATGAATTTAAAATTTTGTAATTTACAAGAAAATTATGAATGGAAATACTAAATACTATAATGTGTCAAATTATCCAATAAATTTAGAAACTTTAGTTCTGTTGGAACAGAAATCACTTAAGTTATGAAGCTGTGTTTATTTAACTTTTGTTTTTCCAGTAATAGCTTGGCCTACCAGCAGCCTGATGGTAAAGTCACTGAACACTGGTTGTTCGGTCTGAGGTTCAAATCCCGTAAATGGGCTGGTTGCATGGCCGTTTTTGTGGTTTTCCCCATGTGTAACATGTGTATGAGCCAGTTTCCCTTAGAAAATCCTCCATGAAGGCATCCCTCTCATTAGTCAAATAGCCATTGAAGCTTTGCCATAATTACATAAACCAAATCATTGGTACCTCAGTATACATCATTTACCTGTTCCAGATCCTTGTAGTTATTCCAAACTAAACGTATATCAAATGAACTTTTCCAATTAGAAATAAAGGGAAACTAATTAAGCCATTTTTGTACAAAAATCCTATTGTTATAGTTCTAACAGTGTTTAATACTAGGGAGCAAATGCTTTGTATGAAATATATACTGTATTTAAATGAAATATTGTATTTAATTGCTATTATTAATAATTATTACTAATCAAGTTGGATGTATTTTAAAGCATACACATAGCAAGGTACCAATGTAGCATTACTTTATATGTGTGTATTGTTTCAATGTGGAATATACTTCCTTGTTTAAAGTAGCCATTATTCTTGTCATTAAAAGAAGGAAATAAATTGCTCAATCTGTAATGTGTAAATCTCAAATGTCACCAAAGCCTTATGCTGTGGCTATTTTCAGGTCTGGATTTACGTATAAGCTACACAAGCTATGGCTTAGGGATCCCACTTTCTTAGGGACCCCCCTCAAAAAATTAAAATATAGTATAAATAGTATTAAAATATATTATAACAGACTTATGAAGGGGCCATATCTGAAATAGCTAAAATGATATATTGCAATCCTGTGGGACAGCTAACTGAACATTATCATAAAAACTGAATCTGAATGGGTGAGAACTGCTCTAAAAAGTAGTAGACTATTAATATTAATGCAAGAAATGGCAGAGGACATTTCTTAAAAGTACAAAGATATCTTATTCAAAATTAGTATCTGTAATCAGGTAAAAGGTGGCATACAATAGCATTCATAGAGCCTTGAAAATGTGAAATTGCTCTATGAAATGAAGCTGAGCATGTTCTGTATTATAGATGGTTCAAGGAAATTATTAATGAAAATTGGAAATATGTACTATATTTCCCTCCCTTCCAATAAAGTAATGTTCCTTTTATCAGAATATGTAAACAGCTAGTTTACAGTGGTTACCAGTCACAGACCTGTTTACTGTTATTGCTGTATTTTTCTTGCATTTTGAAAAAATATTAAAATTCGGTTCCTGCCTTCTGTAAAAAAGCAAGTGTGGATTATTTTCAAAGTTATGGGATCATACCATAAAAAAATGTTATGGTTAACTAAATTTGGGCCCACAAAACAGTTAATGAATTGAAGCAGTTACCTGTGAGAAATTTAAACTCTTGGAATTCTAAACAGAGCTTCCAATAAAATCGGATGGCCTAACAAAAATTGTAGAATTCAACAAAATCTTTTTTTCAAAGGGGGGGGAAGCCTTTAGAATATTAATTTTTTGTTAAATAAAGAGGCATTAGTTCCTTCAGGATTTTGTATGAATGATTGGTACAATTTTGAATGGCATCTGTGCCAATTTTCATAGTGCAATGGTAACCAACGGTCGACGGAATAACATGCAAGTACCAAAAATGGTATATTGTAGGATGTATCAGAGATGAATAATTAGGATTCACAAAGTCCTAAAAGTGCTCATAAATATTGCAATGTTTGGTACCTATTTATTTGATCATCTAAAGAAATTCCTAATGTCTGCTTACGGTATGTAGGATTCCTTTGCATTCAGCATAGCTCATGTCTCCATGATGGTGTTGATTGATGCATCCAGAAACAGTATAGTCTCAAAAGGCTTATGTCTACTATTTGACTCCCATTTCATACCTTTGTATTATTATCTCTGTGAACAAGAACAAATTCCAATTGCAGCCATAAGAGAAAGTCACTCTAAAATGTTTTGATTGCCATTGTATTTTTACAAACATAATCTATTGCATGGATGCATGTTTACAAGCAAAAGAAAATCATTTCAAGCATTTACTGTAGTAAGTACATTTGTCAGTGGTATTTGTACTTGTATTGTCTTGCCACGGATATAATGGCCACATAAAATTATTTCAGATTATACACTTTTATAGCACAGAAATCTGACATAGTTTACATGTGGACATAATGTAAACTTCAGTATTATTTGTAGATCTTGAAATGTGTTACAGCAAATTCAGGGCCATTACTGTGGTACTTAAATTTTTTGCCATGCCATAATTTATGTAATTTATGAAAGGAAATGATTTTAAAATTGTTTGATATTACTGAATAAATAAATGTGTTTCTCTCTCTCTCTCTCTTGTGTAGTCCTATTCTTTGGCAAAAAAGAAGATTGTTCATTATACCACTCAGGATGCTAAGAAAAGAGTAAATGCTGCATTTTTAATAGGATCATATGCGGTAAGTTTACATGCAGTATTTACAGGTAAAGTTGAATGCATGCCACATTTATTTCTCTTTAATTTCTCATTTTTTTCTTTCCTTTTGAGAAATATTCAAAATTTAGTTTAAAAATGTATACTTAAGAGTAATAATTTATTATAAAAATATTATATATTCTGTACATTTATTGCAGTGTCATTGTTGTATCCCATTGTTATGAGTTACAAAAATACTGCTTGTACTTAAGAATACTTAAGAAAGATGAAACACTCTCACTATATTTAGTTGTTAATTGATAGTAGATTGGTTTATTCCCCTTGATAAGTTGATTAATCTGTGATCAATAACAATGCCTACTTTTTCAATACTTAAAAATTTTTACTTTTGATTCTGGTATTTTTGCAATTAAGGATTTTTCTCTACAGATTTTTATGTTTTTAAATCAATAAGTTTAGAAAATACTAATTTAAAAGTCTAATTAAAATGCTGACTAATTTTTTTAGTTTTAATTATTTAAATGTAATTTACTCATTACTTATATAGTATATATATATATATATATGTCATATTAAAAGCACAAGGAAAAGAATGGAACACTGTAGATGCGTGATTAGACCCATATTGAAGAAGATTTTGATTGTGTAGTATGCTAGTAATGCTAACTTGGTAATATCTAAAGAACTTGGCAGTCGAGGCAGTTTTAATTCCATTTTTATTTGCAACTGATATTTGTGGCCACAATCACTTGGCACTCTAGTCGTGCCTTTCCACAGAAGATTTACATTTTTGCTATTGTTGAGATAAAAAGCAAGCCAGCGAAATTACATCTTAGCACAGTAGAGAGCAAAAGCTGAAATGCGTAGTTATGAAAGGTGGAAGCACGCGAAGAGAAAAGTTTTGGTTTACAATTATTACGTCATCAGAGCTGCGCTGGCCATAGAGTGATCTAGAAATGACGCAATGCAGAGAAGTTATTACGATTTTAGAATAGAGAGGAAGAATTAATGTTTATAATTATAATTCTGATTCATATAATTTTATCTTACATACATATATATATATGTACTATACACACACATACTGCAGCCTGCTGGAATGAAATGCATTTCCAAAGCAGCCTTTTTACTAAAAGTCTTTTTAGTTGGGCATGCTTGCTCAAAATGGCCATTTTCCCTCTGTGGGCTTGACATTCCTTCACCTGACATAACTCCATATGAAATTTTTATCAGTTATGTCAAAGATCCTGCTTATGTCCCTTGTGCTACGGATTTAACTCAAAATGTACAGTGATAAATTTTATGATTTTAATTTTTGTTTAATGTTTGTGTATATATATATAATTTTCATCATTGATAAATAGAGTAATTTTTATCATACTTCTAAGTATATTTATATGCTTATCTCCATAAGATCCTAATATTTTTTAGGTTTAATTTATTGAAATCTCAATAATTTGAAGTTTTTTAATCATCCCTTTAAGAATAATTTTATTCTTTTAGATAATTTATCTTCAGAAGTCTCCTGTGGAAGCTTATCAACCCCTCGTGAGCAACAACAGTCCACTGTTTATACCTTTTAGGTGAGTATGAAATTTCCTATTTGCTCCAATACATGTGATAATGCAGTTGGCACTTCCTGCAGAGAAAAGATGTTATAATAAGTGGTTGCTTTAATTAAAACAGATTTAATGTTTTGTGACGTGGCCAAAGAGATATGCTACTATGGTATTCTGCCAGCGTGCACCACGTTAAAACCATGAACTTCCTTTCAGGAAGAAAAATTGATCAAAATAATGATTCCAGCAGGAATTACGGCATATCTTCAAATTCTCCATATTGCTATAAACAAGCTATTTAAAGAACATTTATTTGCACTTGAAAATAGAATGGAGAGAAATCAATGAGGAAACCTTATGAAGCCTAACTTACAAGAAGGTGTTGCTTAGATGAAGAATGCGTGGGAACAGACAGCTGTGTTGCCAATGCCCTTTGAGCAAGCTATATGGGCAAGAGGAACTCAGTTGAGGAAACCTGTACTGCTCAATATAAGAGACTAGTGCCAATGGTCTTCGAGAAGATGAAGTCGCAAAAAATTCAGGCCGGATTAATTTTGTGATTTGAAGTTTTATGATGATTTTTCAGAAGACGAGATGGCTGTATTAGAATAAATGATCTTGTTCACTTTTGAATGTTTCTTGAATCTGAAGAAATATATTTTTTGAATGTGAACAAATATTAATTCTTGTGCATGAAAAATGAGACATCCCCTAAAAATAAGCCGTAGTGTGTTTTTTGCAGCAAAAATTAATATAAATCCTAGTTTTATTTTCAGAGAAACATGGTAATAATGATTCATTGCGTGTCATGCATTGTCTCCTCCCAGTAAGAATGTGCATGAAAGACTCTTTCCCCCCTGTCTATTTTTTACTGATTTTTTCACTTTATCATGTTTTCTCATTTGCTTCATATTATGATTGTTATTGCACTTTGATCATCATTTATATATTTCTAGTGACATCAAAAATATGCATGATATACATTCAGTTTGTATTCTGATAGTACAAACGATACTGCATTTCTCAAGTGCCTCAAAATTCGCTAGACCTCAGTCCTTAGGATTTTTTTCTTCTCTATTTGGAAGAATTTTAAAGATTTTGTTTTTGTGCTGTCATTGCCATCTGATGAACTCAAAATATACATTATCCATATTGCCTCATAACTGATATTAAATATACTTCAGAGAAATTTGTGCTGTTTACAGATTATTATTATTATTTTTTTCCCTTTATAGAGATGCATCATTCAGCCAGTGTACTTACAATTTGACGTTATCAGACTGCTTGCATGCTGTTAGTAAGGTAAGAATTTTTCTTTGATAAAGATTTTTTTAAGCTCTTGAAAGCTTCTTTTATGTAAATCTGTATTCAGGATTGTGTTAGAATTTTTTCTAATATAATACATTTTCCTTAGCTTAAAAGTGTAGTGATTTGTGTAAGTGAAGTACTGCGTATTTGATAGCAAAAATAGCTGTATTTTTCAGTTAGCAAGAAAAACATAATATTCCGCACTTGGCTTCAGATGTAAATATTAGCTTGAAATCTTACTCGAAATAGGAATGGCAACCTAATGTTATGTACAGCTTCATAGAAAGAAAAGGCTGTTTTATTAAATCTAAAATAAATGCAAAAGCAAGTACAGAAATTCACAAATAAGATGAAGACAAAAATAAGTAATTTTCCCCATTCAACAATTATGCAGTGATTCATTCCTAGTTGCATTAAATAAAATTCTACCCACATAATAATATCAGATGTAAACACAGTTAGTACTGTAAAAAAAGGGGATACGTGTACCTTTAAATTAATATCTTATTGATAAATTTTTATTTGTTGTTGTGATTTATTGTAATAGTGCTGCCATTCTGGTGCTTTGGCATTTATAAAATACAACTTTGTTTTGCAGTTTTCCAAAGAAAGGTTTTTAGTCTGATGATACCTTTGTCTTAAAAGAATTTATTCATGATTCTTTGTCATTCGGTAGTTACCAAACTGCATATTGTATATCCATTCTGGATTTTTCTTTTTTTTAGAATTACTGAATTGATGTTCATATGTTCATTCTTCTTGCCTAATTGTAATGATATCATTATATAATATTTGCGAGGTAAAAAAGTTACCACCAGGGTGACAACCGTCAGTACTTTCATACAAGAAATAGTATATTTTTTATAGTGTTCTAGTTGTGTTTGCCATCAGATCTAAAACTTTCCTATTGTTATTGCACGCTCAACAATAAAATGACGTGAAGAATTAAAGAATTTATACCTCACTTTCAGAGTAATAAAAGATGCTGCTAAAAGATGCAAGTTCATAAAGAGAAAGTGATGGAATATATGTCCATGTAAATGCTGAATTCTTAACAGAGTTTTCAAATGAATAAATTTCAGAGATCAAAATATTAAAAAGTTAATGTTGAATTTTCCAATTTGTTAATCATGTAACTTAATTCGAATTTTACATGTCTTATGAAATAGCTATGGAAATCTTGGTAGATAATGAATCTAATGAGAATTATAAAACATCGGGGGGGGGGGGGAAATAGTCCATAATCGTAGGTTTTTTATGGGTATCTTGAACTGCTGTAATAAAAAGTCAGAATTTCATGATATATTTCAGAAAAAAAAAGTTTTAAAATAAAAATGTTTTATAAGAATGTTTTGTAGTTAAAAAAAAAATAGTAAATATTAGTTATGTGTCTCCCTCATTTGTCAGCTGCAACTGAGAGAATATTTCTAATAGTGACAACAAAGAGAATAAAATGAGAAATCAACTACAAACTCTCTTGATGAGTGTTTTGTTTTGACAAAGGAAAAGTAAAATCAATGACAAGTTTTACTGTTTCCATCAATTTACCAATATCTGCTAAAAATAATCAGTAAACATTTCCAGTTTCTTATAAAACCTCAGTATAAGGGTATAATATTAATTAAAAAGAAATATCTATATATGGTCTGTATGTGAAGTAATTAAAATGTCTGTATTTAAATAGAAATAAAAAATAACTAAACATGTAAATTTCATAAATGTCTACTGTGTAGTGAATTGTAACATTTCTTTTTTTTCATGTTTTTCAGACATGTGTTAGTTAAACAATTTTATTTTGAGGTTAATTGTGATAATAAGACAGTGATATCCTAAAATGTCTTAAAAAGAAGTAAACGAATACAATTTCAGCTTTAAGGAAGCATGCCTTATTTAATAACATTTCTTATTTTCTTTTGGAATTTTCCTTTTTAAAACATTGCTGTTTATTAATTTAGTTCGTTATTAAACCATAGTTTGGTGACTTGTCGCATTTTTTAATTTTGTAAAAATGTGCATAAATTTTCTGTTCTCATTGTAGCTTCTTATTTTATGAGAGCTTGTTTTTAAATTGAACATATTTTGAGTTCAGTGTATAATTTTCATTTCACCACAGGCATTGGAAAATGGTTTTCTAGATTTTGAGAAATTTGATGTGGAGGAGTATGAACATTATGAGGTATGATTATTTCTATGCAGTTGGTTTGTAGGATTAGTTATTGTGGTGTTGCTGGCCGTGATCGTATAAAAGTAATTATACTAAGAGTATCAAATGCGAATTAATTCCGCGTAAAACGTTAATCTCAAAATTTAGTGGTTAGTACATTGCATGATTATTAATAATAAGAATCAAATGACTTACCCAATAAGGCATGCATGAATCAGTATCTCTCTTTTAAATATACATTTATTAAATCACAAAAACACACATTTCTTGATTAACCTATATAAATCACAAAATAACACTTTTCTTGATTAGCCTATATTCGATATGTTATAAAGAAAAAAAAACACATTCATGAATGCCCTGCGGCATGTGCCTACTCGTTAGTCCTACGGGACTCTCACAGCGTTCATTTTTACGGTATATTGCAATTCCTAATCTTGCTGCATCAAAGGCACATTACTTATCAGCATCTTGCAAGAAGCTTAATTAATATGCAGTGCACTTACTCGTGATAGAAGAGATCACATTTCTAGCAGATAGGCTTGAAATTGGCGCACATGGTCGTCACTTCGAAACATCCAACTGTCAGGATTATACACATTGAGTCACAGCACAGGAACAATTTTTTACCTCGTAGCCTAATCAGTAAAGTTTACCTGATTTCTTATATTCTTCGTACAAGAACATATTTTCTCCTCAATCCTTGAAAAAGGACTTTAGATCGAATACCGTGGACGATGGCGAGAGCTGTATGTGTGTGTGTGTGGCCCGAAGGCCCACACGTGTTCGTTAACACGACGACAGGCAGAAAGAGAAAGACAAAACCAGTCCTTCCAGTTTTTATCCACTGCGATGCACGTGGCAGGGCGCGATAACAATTTAAGAATCGATACAGCCACCGTGTTCACTGTGAGAATTCTGTGTTCTCACAGTTATCTTGTCATTATTCTTTTTTCTTGTTTGGTTAATAATGCATATTGTGATTGCTGCAGATCATGCATAATGAAATATAATCAAAATGCATCAAAATTTTGTTTATCTTGCATATTGTTTCTTTTTTTTTTTTTTTTCCCTTCCCCTTCTAGTTAAAGCTTTTACATAAGTTTTCAAATTGAAGTAATTGCTATATGGCATATTTTATTATTAATCACATGTGTAATAATTAAATGAAACTGTTATTATAAGGTTAAATATTGGTTAAATAAGACTGACATATTCATTTCACTTGTATGCACTTTTACCTGTACTGCAGATGAATATTTTTGTGATATTTCAGAAAGTTGAAAATGGAGATTTGAATTGGATCGTTCCAAACAAATTTTTAGCTTTTTGTGGACCTCATGCTAAGAGCAAAAGTGAAAATGGTAATTATTACTTAAAATATTTTCTTTTACGATATTTTTCAAAAATAAGCATCACTTCTTTCTTTTAGTAATGGTATGTTAGTTTCACTAAAATTAATGGGTTAAAGTTTTGAATATATTTTTTATAGCTTTTGTAATTTTCTCTAAGAAGTAAATACCTTAATTCTGATTTAATTTGCATGCCTTAACACTTTTAATTCATCAGTAGTTGTTTTAGCCCAATTTGTGAGGCGTTCAAGTTTCTGTATCTTTACTATAAAAGAAATGAGAGTTACCGTGAGATGTTTATTTGGATCTTTAACAATAAAAGTAGTAAATATTATTCTATTTTATTGCAAATATTTTAGAAATTTGAAAATGGAGATTTTTAACATATAAGTTATTTTTAACATATAAGTTATATAAGTTATTTTTAACATGTAAGTTAAAAATAATTCAGTTTTATTCTTTCTATAACTTGAATAATTTGGTAACACATTTTCCCAGATGGTATAAAGTGGAACTTTAAGATCTCAGGAAAAAAAATTAATAAAAGTTTTCAAATAATTTTATTCGCTCCTTTATTCTAATATAAGTTTCTTTTGAGGGGTTTGGTAATGTTGAAAAAATATGATGAAAAAATTTTCAGACTTCATGAAAATTTAAATTAACCATTTTCCCCCCATTTTAAAGAGTTTGAAGCTTTTTAAATGTAGGTCTGTTAGTAGCAGTATCATCATTTTTTAAAATCCGCATTTAGTGTTTTAAATAACTTATGTAATAATTTAATGTAGACTGGATTTGTGTTTTTTTTTTTTTAACTATTATAGATCGAAGGTATTTTCAATCTTTTTTTAACCATTTGTTCAGAATTCTGCATTTTTTAAATACTTTTTCTGAAATCAAATTCCTAATAATAAAACATTCAAACAGCTACTTGTTTTATAAAATTTTAAATTACAGTGATATCAAAGATTTTTTTCTTTTTATTGGCAGCAACCAGGAGAAAATTTACCATTGGTGGGTTTAATTAGTACATTCTTTTTCATAGGTTATCCCCTTCACTCACCAGAATCTTACTTTTCGTACTTCCGTAAACATAATGTCACAACCATAATAAGACTGAACAAAAAAGTCTACGATGCTCATCGATTTTCCAACCATGGATTTGACCATAGAGATCTGTTTTTTGTGGATGGTAGTACTCCCAGTGATAAAATTATGGAAGATTTCCTAGAAATTGCTGAAAATGCTAAGGGGGCAATAGCAGTACATTGCAAAGGTAAAAATAATTATTTGCTGTATCTTTATTGTACTTTTTGTATAATTGTACATTGCATCTTCTTTTTATAAAGTACTATAAAATAATTTTAGAAAATGTTTAAAATTTACTTTTCTTTTCTCCCCCACTTTTTTGTATAATTGTACATTACATGTTCTTTTTATCAAATATTATAAAATTATTTAGAAAATGATAAAAATTTTTTTAATGTTTTCATTTTTTAAAATGGTGCATTATATGATTCTTCTAGCTGGTTTAAGAGAATTTTTGCCCATTTTATTATTTAATGTATTATAAAAAGCATTATTTATAGGGAGAAATAAAAAACTGTTCTGTATACTATACCTCTATGGTGAATCCGTACTTAAGTTTGATTAAAAAAAACTCTAAATTTTGTTTTGTGTGTATATATCATACATTAATTTTGCATTATAGCTGGCTTGGGTAGAACTGGGACACTGATTGCTTGCTATATCATGAAACATCATCATTTCACTGCTGCCGAAGCAATAGCATGGATTAGGATATGTCGTCCTGGATCTATAATCGGACATCAGCAACACTGGTTGGAAGAGTAAGTTAATCGATAGCAGTAGCAAGTAATTATAAGCAATGTAGCAAAACAGTGAAGGACTGTTTAACATAAAAGTAGATCCATGAGTTCCTAACTTATATAAAAAATTTAAAATGTATAAAAAGTAGCTTTTAAATTTTCAGATATTGATACATTATACACATACATATACCAAAAAAAAAGGTGAATATATATATTTTTTTAAATTATTAAATGTTGTCTATAGCTGCAGGTAGTAAATTTGTGAAGAACATTGCATTAGCTCACTTGCTCTGCCACCTAGTGATGCATCTCTGAGTCAGGGTGGTAAATAGTGTGATACTTCTTTGGCAATATGAAGCAACTCCATTGATGGAACACAGAAAAAACTTTACTTAGCACTCAAAATGGCGGCATACAAAACAGAGAAAAAAAAAAATTCTAACATTTAAAAATAAATTACATTCTTCGTGCGAGAGTCGCACGTGGCACTCGAGTCTGGTTTCAAATATTGCCATTCACAAATACCTTAATGTTCATCTATTTAAATTATTTAAACTATAAGATTTTAATATTATTTAAAGTTGTTACATCCTCTCCCCCAACGGAGAGACTTTTTCCGAAGGGAAAAGTTCTGTAAAATTCGACAGTTTAATAAGCTCGGCTTGCTCATTTGCTTAAAGAGAAAAGGTAACTTCTCTTTTAAGTTTCCAAACAGGCCAAAATTTTTTAAGTTTTAAACAAATATTTTTACACCACATTTAAATAGGAAAAAAAAAAAAAAAAAAAAAAAAAAAAATGGAGAACGTTCAAATTAGTCTTCCTTTTTTTTTCTTGACGGTGCCTAGATCTCTTCCATGTTGGACAAGTTCCTCGACTATAATTCACAGCAAAGCCTTTCCTCAGTTCATTTGTGCCTTTTGGATAATATTCAATTGTCATTTGCTTTTGACAATTGTTTTCTTCGTCTATTAGTAGCGGCTTTGATATTAAATCAAAAGCCAAAAGATGATAACGCTGCATTGCAAAATGATTCTCATCGTGAAAATCTTACATGTTTAATTCCAGTGATTTAACCTCTTCTTCAAAGATATCTCTGGATGCTTTATTTTCTTCCTTCATTAGTTCCAAGATTTCTCTTCAGCTATTTTTCTTTCCCTTTCAGCTCTAGTAGAGACGGCATTAACCTGGTGAGGATGACTATCAGGTTTCTTTCTTTGTTTATTTAACAGTGCAAAAGTTCGATTGCCTAATAAATACCTTCCTTTGTTGAGTTCATTTCTAATAATGGCAGCCTTAGTTATTACTTGCCCAAGATCACAATTTAGTTCGATCTCAGCCAATGGTAAACAGGTTGGATTCAAATCTAATGGTTGTTGCACCCACACGTTTTCACCTGTCAGCATTTCCGGTGTAATGTATTTGCGCCAAACTATATCAATACTAGCACCTGATTTTTTATAAGTTTGGTAAAAAAAGAATATTCCATTGGCACATTAATTATTAAACAGCACTGTAAACCACAGACCAAAAAATTATAATCAATCTTCAGTTAACTAGAGACGTGTTAACTAAGCCCTGCCTAAAAAAAAATTTAGTAATTGTTAGACAGTAGAAAAATTACTATTAGAAACCATAAATGTAAGGCAAAACTATCTACATAGTATACAAAAGGAGAAACAAAGGTTTATGAGATAAGTCTAGTGATAGCTGGTGATGTCTGCCAGATGAACTTTACTAAAGAATAAAATGCAAAGAATAAAACCGAATTTTTAACATGAGATTAAACTTAAGGATGCTGTTTACAATATCTTTTATTATTTACAATATTTTTGTTTTGAATGCTGATTTAATTTCTGTAATTAAGTCAACTTATTCTTTAGATGAAACAGCTTGAAAATATAGCTATGTTATTGATTATATTTTGTTGTCAATTATAATATAGATTATTCCTATTGCCTACATTTGTTTTTAAGTGTTTTTATATTTATCATGAATTCTCCAGTATTACTCCAATTTATTGGGAGTTAATTGTATTATTACCACAGCAGTATGTAGTCATGTTCATGCATTTTTGACAATTTATTTTTTAAATATTAAGACTTTTGACTCACCTTCTACTTTAGTCTGCTATTTTATGCTCAATATATCTTTTTTTAAACTTATTATAGATAATATTAATATTCCTTTGCCAGGAATAAAGTGTTTGAGAAGAATTTCCTGTCAAATTTTGGCAGTGTTATCGCTTATAGCAATTATACCAAATTTCAAAATGTATATTAAACAAATTCACATATATCTTGGGAGATTTTGAATAAAAAAACCCTTTTTACTGGTATGCCTAGAAATACATCTATATTAACATGATGGTAAAAATTTTATAGACTAAAATTAAAAATATGTTATGAAAAATTATAAAAATTATTTAAAAATGCAGATTTTAAAAATAAATTTTTAAAAAGTCCAAATTTTATTTGGATTGAATTTGAATTTTGAGAGAAGGAATCATGAATTAGACATATTAATAAATGTAAACTAAATTTCATTAACATTGAGAAGCTGAATTTTGAGACCTAATTTTTTAAGAACTACTCGGGCGATTTTTACAAAACCTGGCACTTTGGCATAATTTGAGGCACAAGATGAAAATGTGGAAAACAATTGGTATGCCATTTTAGAAAGAGTCCGATTTTGTATCAAAATATCTATATATCTATATATATATATTATATATATATATTTTTTTACAGGAAGCAAGGTTTGTTGTGTTACCAAGGAAATATATTCCGTGCCGAGAAAGCAAATAGTAAGAACAACAATTATACACCCTCCAGAATTGTCACAAGGTCATCGCTACGGCGCAGAGATGATGGTGTGGCACATATTCTGTCTAAAGTTGATAAAATTCAGTTGGATGACAGACTAAATCCCAATGAGGGTTTATCTAGAAGTCGGAAGGAAAAAGTGAGTATCTTACATGCATGTTGATATTTTGCATAGAAGATTCGAAAGTTATTAAGTTTTTCCCTATTATTGTTATTTAAGTACTTGTAAACTCTAAGATTTTTCAGATTGAAAGAAGAATTGGCATAAAGAGAAAGAAAATTGTCTTTCAAAGGGATGTTATTGAAAATATTAACAAATTTGCAGATGAACCATAAACTAGTAGGAATATTAATTTTTTTATATAAGCAAATGAACTTATTAAAGATATTGAAGGGAAATAAATAAATATAAATAAGCTAAAATGTCTGGAAAAAGTCTCAGATTAAAAAGATACATAAATATTTTGTCATGTGATGTTCTGTGGCTTTTTATGTATAATTAGGCTTACCAGATTTTCACTTTGACTGGGACTGTCTTGGTTTGATGATGTAATCACTATATCCCAGCTGGTTTGTCATTTTATCTTGGTTATATGGTAAAATTTTAGAATTGCTGAATATGCAAGAACGGAAAATATGCAGCCCAGGCTAAAATAACCATTTTTCAATTAAAATATCCCCTTTGTTATTCTTGCTGTTGCCAGTGTAAATGCTTTGTATCTAGATCAGGGGTTCTCAACTGGTGGTACGTAAAAAGCAAAGTATGTTTAACCATTAAATTCAAAAAAAAAAAATAAATAAAGCCCCAACATCCTGATTTTTTTCTTTAACATTCGTAAATTTATGTAATCTTAGCTTTGTTCAACAGTGGTCGTAGTAGTAGTACTTTGTAGTGGTGGTACTAAAGGTTTTCAAATTTTGTTTAGATGGTACACATTAGTCAAAAGGTTGAGAACCGCTGATCTAGATCTTTGTACTTAAAATGTCATCTTTATGTTTTCCCCCAAAATTATAGCATATGGCCTTATGAATTTGAATTCCTTGAAATCACAGTTGTATCAAATAATTTTTTTTCATATGTATATTTTGTAAAATGGTATTCCTATGTCTAGTTTTGGAAGACTCTGTATTTTTAATTAAGTAAAATCCTAGCTTAAAAAAAAATCCAAAGTTAGTAGTTTTATTATGCTGGTAATCTACTTCCCAAATGTTCATTAATTTTTGGTACTTTCTAATTATCCGCACTCTAACCAAAAAGCTACGAAAAATTATTGAGAAGGTAATTTATATGGCAACCCATGATATTGGCAAAAAGTATGTGTACGTCAAACCAAGTATTCACCTGGCATACTTTTTTTTAATCAAATAGCGGGCACTTGCCTTTTTTCACCATTGGCCACTCCTAAGGCTGGAAAGCGGTAGCCAATTTTATTTTGGAGGCCACTGTTACCTTCTATGAGGGAACAGACAATTTGCATCCATGCCTTCTCTAGGATTCGAACTCTGACCCTTCGGTATCGCAGTTGACTCCTTTAACCGCTATACCATACTGGGACCTAGCATACATGTGTTAGACAACATGTGGATTTTGTCTTTTTGAAATTCAACAGTCATTTTTCTGGTTAGATTTCTTTTGCATTAAGTGCATTTGTTTTTGTTGTCATAAATCGTGATGGAACTCTGAAGTTTGCTTTGTTTTATTCTCGTTATACTGGAATGTTTCTGTGGAGTACACGTTGAAATTTCAGCTGATCTTGGGCGATTATGATTATAGATGGTGTGTAATGCTGAGTTTGTGCAATTCTCTCATCCCTTCTTTAAAAGTGAAAATTTATTGCTGTTTGCATCGGAAGTATATAATTCTGTGGAGAAAAAAATAATAAAAAATAGGTGGCATTGGATAGATACATCGTTGAAATAAATGCAAATATACCAAATAAATTCTCTCTATTGATAAAAATGAAAATAACTAAGAAATAATCTTAAAAACTAACAATTCCAATCCATCTTTACCCTCAGTTTTTAAGGAAATTATTTTATAGTTGTTTTCATTTTTATATGTAGATATTGCCAGTAGCTTTACTTCTTTCCTTTCATTGTTATCACCTGAGTACAAGCTTTCTTCTTTGTCATTTGCATTTCTGCAGGAGAAGAAAGTCTTTTATTTAAACTTTCAAACAAGTCTTGCAAATGTATAAGTATTACACTAATTCTTATTGCTTTAGCTCCTTCAATAATTGTTATTTGGCATGTTATTTTAACTCAGATTAGTTTTATGTATTTGATGGTGACATCCTCTCTTGAGGTAAAAACAGAATGCAAGTTATATATTCAGTATGGCTTCTCATATCCCCCCTTTTTTCTGCTAATTTTATAATTTGAAAATTGAGAAGGGAAAATTATGTGAATAATTTAATTTATGAGGATGTGATTGCAGTAAGAACATAACAACTGAAAAGTAGCCATGGATAAACTATAAGTACCATACTTGACGGCATATAAGACACACTTTTTTTCTTAAATTTGGTCTCAAAAAAGTTACCTGCATCTTATACTTGAAGGACACAGTCTTATACGTGAAGGTAATTGCATTCAATAATTGTTTGTTTGGCTTTTACGAAACATGAGAACTAAAAGAAACCACATTATTGAAACTTTTTTTCCTTGTGTGTGGCTATCTAAATAAGGGTGCGTCTTATATGCCATCAAATACGATAACTATCACAATATTATTTTGTTAAAAGAAACCTTCATTACAACAGGGTGCCACGCTACCTGGAAAACCGGGAGAACCGGGAAAAGTCAGGGAATTCGAAAATTGACCAAAAAATTCAGGTAAAAGTCAGGGAATTTAAGTATTTTTTGTCAAAATCTGGAAAAGTCAGGGAAGTTCATACAACGATCCCGCCAAAAAAAGCGATTTTTGCGCCGACGTCGGAAGAGGTAACTTTTTTGGCGAATTGTGTATCACGTGAGTGTCATTCGGGCAGCTGGCATAGAGCCAATTTTCGCAGCTCCAATTTGATTGTCTTTTAGAAAGGCAAAGCAAGTTTCCCGCAACTTTTGGTTTCCAGTATTCTCGAGAATCGCATGTGCAGTGCATGAACTAAAGAAAGTACCTGTTCTCGTATAAAACAAAATGGGTTTAATCCTAGTATACGGTACCATGGACGTTTGAATCAAAGAATATGTATTGTAAAGAAGGAAAACCTCTCTGCAACTTACGTGGCTCCGTTCCATCATAGAGGGAAATAGCTGTGCATGCGGTGATATATCTGTCGCCAAAGCTCGAAACCGGTGTCGAAGTTCGAAGGTCAGGTTATCAAGAGTTCATAAAATGAATATCGTTTAAAATTTCTTCAACCACTTGCGCTAAAAAGACGTGCCACGCACGTCGAGATGCTTTTGTTTCAAACCGCGAGCGACATCGATAAGCATTTATCGCAAAAATGAAAATAACGTGATGCACACGTCGCCTAACAACGAGATTGTTTATTTCTCGAGTTACAGCTCTGGATTGCACTCGCAGATGCGGAGCGGCGTAAATGAGACACTTTACCGCTTGTTATATTGTAGCGCACGGCACCGCAACCGTGAAGTTTAGTCTTAGCGCAAGTGGTTAAACTCTAAAGGAAAAGAAAATATTTTTTGGCGCAAGTAAATTAATTCATGGATTAGTTTTTTTCAGGGAAAAAAAAAAAAAAAAAACTACGAAAATCCGTTTTTATAATTATTGCGAAAAAATCCAAGAAGAAACGTCCTTTGATAAAACGAATTCTTGGATTTTTTCGCAAATTTAAAACTGATTTTCGTAGCTTTCTTTTTGTTCAAAGAACGTGTTCTTCTTAAACCGTTTCTCAATTTCGGTACACATCGCGGAGAAGGAAATTCTGGCCGCCAGGTTTCCGTTGCCAAATCCCTTGGCAAATTTTCCCTCCGCATTCTAGCGGCGTAATAGCATTACTTCTATGGAACATCCTTTCTTCTTTACATAGACGTTCTTTGGTTAGAATAACCTCCATGTATTCTATGTATGGTACAATACAGGTACGGTACACACAAGGTATTTGGTGACATTATGATGAGCAGTAAACGGGTCATTTTGGTCTTGGCGACAATTTTCAAAATCGTGCCAAAACCTTACCGTATACTAGAATTTTACCGCAAAATATTTTTAAACCTTTTTTTTTTAAATAGATACCTTGCCATTTTGCAGTAAAATAAAAAAATAGTAATCAGTCATCTAGGCTAACCATGTAATATAACTAACTATATTCGCTAAAATATCGTTGATTATTCTAATTCAATTTTAAGTAATTAGCTTTATTTTTATGTTATTCGTATAATTTAATGTTGCTTCTTCCCTCTAAATTTATTTATTATTAGTAAATAATATTTTCAAATTTCAGGAAATTTTCTCTGGCATAATCCTGAAATTAATTCTAGCAGTATGATGACATACAATCACGAAATTTAATGCACATATTTTTTTCCTTACGTATGCTGCGAAATAAATATAAAATACCTCAATTTATTAAAATAGATTTCTTTCTTTCGTTTAGCTGCAGAATGTCTGCAAAAAAAAAGCCTTATTTTATTCCAGATTGGGAAGATTCTAATCTCAATCTTCAGTGAAGAAAACAACTACTATTATAATTATATTTGTGTTTTCAAGTGTTAAAGTGCCTTTTAAATTTACCTAAAATCTAACCTAACTATTTAGCATTGCGTTGTGATTTATAAGGACCGGATTAGCCTCATGTTGAACTGGTGATGATCATGAGTAATAATTAAATAAAACATACATTTGTTATCCAATGTATATATCTTAAATTTTATTAAGTTTCTTAAGTGGAAAAGTAAACAAAATTATCAAACAAAGTATACCAAGAATAATTAAGAATAAATGTCCTCTGGGATTTATTGAATAATTAAGTGAATTTGCTACACTATACAAGTAATACCATAATTAATTTACCTCTTAGCACAGCCCATGTACATTACGCGGATAGACTGGAATTTTCTTGAAACACACCTGGAAAAGTCAGGAAATTTTATTCTCCTGTTTGAGTGGCAACCCTGTTACAATAAGGATACATAGTAGTATTAACATTACAATATATAATAAGTTATAGTCATTTCTACTTCCTTCTAACTTGAATGCCCGTTGTTATCATTGTGTTTGACCTCAAATTATCCATAAACAATTAGAATAGGTGAATTTGCAGCTGACTCACTGAAATCATAGATTGAATGTCAGTTCATGTTTACTTTATTATGATTAATTGGTTTGTGTATGACTGGTTTGAAATTCAGCAGTTAAAAGGAAAGGTTTGGTGGGGCTTTCATGAATAAAGAAGGAGAGTTTGCAAGGATTTGTCTTTGTTAGTAAGAAGATAGTAATCTCTACATGGAAGAATCCATTTTAAAATTTAGGGGAACTCTTTCTCTGAATGCACTGAAGAAAGAGAAAATAACCCAAATAGATATATATTTTTTAAATTTTCAGAACCTGGGCTAGGGGGGAAATATGTCAGGAATGTACAGCATGTACATAGATTTGGTTTCTATATTTTTTTGGTACAATCAAATTATTTTTCCTAGACATCCCAAAATGGAATTTTATGTGCTGACAACAATGATAACAACAACAACAACAGTGCCAGTAATGAAGCAGATGATACTGTCACACAGGGTGATAAATTAATAAGGATTAAAGCTATGAGAAGGCAACCTCGATCTCATACGACTGGTGGACTAAGGTATGGTTTAAATATTTTCTTGAATAAGAATCAAAATTCTTCTTTTCAACCTAAGATTGCTGTTTTTTCTGCAATAATGATCAAAATTCTTCTGTTTAATATATTGCTCAGAAGTATTTCTAAAAATTAGTATTAAAAAGATTAAAGGATGATTCCCCCCCCCTGTAAAAATCAATATTGTTTTGTTCAATATTTTGTTGGAAAAAAAAGTTTTTGGAGGAGCGGGGGTTAGAAAAAATAAAAATTCGAAATGTTGTTTCAATTCTGATAAAATTGCATCTACTGTAAAAGATAGTTTTTTTCAATAAAGGGTATATCATTTGTCTTCAGTGATATGTAAAATATAAATATGTAAAATAAAAAATATGTAAATCATCTGTATAATTTAGTGTACAATCTGCCTCTTAATTCCTTGTTTTTAATTTGGGTATTTCCTCACTGTATTCTAAAAATCATAATAACTTTTCTGGACTCACCATTTCTAGATTAATCTGTGTCACATGACTTACATAATGCTGATGATGTAGCTAATTCAGAACTTGAACTCAAAATTTTGAGAACCGAAACCTTTCTAACCTAAACTAAAACCTGCTCACTAATCCGTTTTCTAAAATGTGATGCTCTATATAAAATTGTGGAGTGCTCATATGTGATGAAGAATATGTTTCGATTAGTTCCAGTCCAGCAATGAAAATTATTTTCGATTTGGCCATGTCTGTCTACAAGTCTCGGCTTCAAATGTCATCTTTCTAACTATGCAATAAAGTCTCACTAAATTATGATGTAGAGAACCATTGCCAATCTGTTGCAGCTTTCTCCAAGTACTGAGGTGAGAAACATTCATGCAAATTCTTCATTATTTAGTTTCTTTAAATACAATATGTGGCAATAATATTTGGTGGCAACAGTTTGAAAAGTGAAACAATGCAAAATGCTGTTTTGAGACTAATAGCCCTTGGGGCTAGCACCTCTTTGGACTAATAAGAATTGAATGTCATTGTCTTCATTATGTGAGAATCTTGTGAGCAGCAGTAGTCTCTCTAGATGAAAGTTTAAGAGCATTATGAGTTCTTGCCTTCTCTGAAGAAACTTGCAGAATGAATCATTCATGCCTCTTAATTTTTTGGGTGTATTTTACATCCTCAGATTCATTATAGTTGAAACAATATCAGAGAAGAAACAGGATCGTTGATTCATCACCTTCCTTGAAATTGAGAGGCTTTGGTGACAGACATATTGCAGATTATTAAAATACTTTGACACTGGCTACGCCATGAAGTTATAATTTTTGAAATATCAAGTGGAGCTGTAATTGAACAAATTATACTTCTGCGATGTCAAAGCCTGTTGTTTGACACCTCATAACAGCTTGAACACTGCGACTTGTGGGTGACCACCCACGTGAATTTCTGATCTATGTGTGATCTGCCACAAAGCATTTGCACAGCCACTCAAGCGAGCAATAATTCAACCTTTCTCTGCAGACTGCCACCGTGATGACCCTGACATGATAGGATCACTTACGTCCACATGGGGAAATACTGACCTAGGTCTCTTGCACCATGCTTCCGGTTTCGACCCATAGATGTTGCCACGAGCAAAATCCTCCGCTAAGAACATGGAAAGCACAGAACATCAGCACACTTCTTAATGTAATAAACTAGTAAAAAATTATGTATATAATATATCTAATTAATACAATCTGTACTATTCGAATCTGTTTGTTTGTTTGTGGTATTATCTCCTTCGGAATAGTGCGGAGTTGACGTTCGAGGGAGGTAACCCCCTGGATTGCAAAAATTTGTTGGAAACCATTTCGACCATTCTCATCTTCATCTGACTTTAATCAGCCGAGATATTAATTAAAAACTCCAGAAATGCTAATTTTTGCACTCATTTTTTCTGAGTGGCAACAGTCATACATGCTAAAGATAAAAATCTGCTTTATTTCGAAAAGTGCTTGATTTTAAATATTATTCTTAATAAAAAATATGAAATAAAAATAGCATTGACAAACATTAAATATATTATTCCCGATTCCAAAAATTCATGGGAAGCCATTTTGACCATTTTTATCTTTGTGTGACTTTAATGAGCCGATATATTAATTAAAAACTCTTAAAAACACTTATTTTCACACTCTTTTTTTTTTTCCTAACTCGCCACAATTTTGTGCACTGGAGATGAAAATCTGCTTTATTTCAAAAAGTGTTGCCACTGCTCACTTTCAAATCATAGAGTTTGTCAATAAAAAATTTGTAGGTTTTACAAAATATGAAATAAAAATGGCATTGCTAAACATTAAATATATTATTAAGTTATTGCTAAACATTAAATATATTATTAAGTTATTGCTAAACATTAAATATATTATTTATTATATAAGATCATATTCTGACATTGAAGAAAGCACGTGATTGCCTGTGACATCACTGTGTGTCTAAAAGTTTTCATTAATGTGAGCATTTTAAATAAATAGCTGCTGTTGGCAACTTTTTTTGCTTCAGGTTAGGATAACTTACTGTCACATTAATCCTTTTATTCATATCAAGAAAAAATTTTTGTATTACATTAAATTTCACTTATTAATCACTTATTAATTTCACTTGTTAATACGTTATACGTATTAACCTGAAGTATAAAAAGTTTTTGTTCTCTAGTTTGACAAAAAATTATGAATGAATTGGTTGTTGCTTTGAAAGAATAGACTGATTTTATTCATATTGAAATGCTTTTATGCATTTTCTTTTCAGATGTACATAATTATAAATTCATAACTATAAATTTTGTTTTGGCCCTGGCCTGCCAGTTTATTATAAATCCAGTTCATAGTTATGAATTTTTGCAGCATTACTCTGTGTAGGGAAAAGTATTGAATGTTTTTTATTATAGGACAACACATACCAAACAGTCTTCCACAGAAAAATGTGTACATTAGTTTTGCCTGTTGGCCATCATTAAATCCCCCCCTGCCTTTGATAACAATATTCTTATTTTCAGAATAAATGTGGTCAATAAAAAGTCCTTAAAAGTATGTTATTCCATTTTGTTTACTGTTTATTGAAGTAACTCGCCTAAGACAGAGTAATAATGATTAGGTATATTTCAATACATACATTTTATTTATTTATTTATTTATTTTAGTTTAGAGCATTTGAAACCTCATCCCAGGTCTTCTTCGCAGCCATTTAAACCTCTCACTTCCAGTGCAGCTGCATACCATTCCACATATGTATCACCACTAAAGCCTCTCCGTGCATCGGGAGCTCCACAAGCAGAAGCAGTCGTCAGTCCCAAAAGTTCTGGCAGCATTTCCACACCGCGTCGGCCATCAAAGCAGAATGCTCAGTCTAGCTCGCCTGCTAAACGGTATTTATACTAAAAAATATTTACAAAAGATAAAATTTTATTAGCTGTCTTAAGCAATTTATGGTATGATTTTTAGGATTGTCAAGGTCTTATTAAAAATTTAAATAATTTTTATAATACAGTACAAAGTCCGAAATCCGGAATGCTCTAAAATCCGGGCTTCAAAACCACCGAAACCGTTTTTCTCGTAGGCTTTACGAATGCGCATTTGATTCCCCCCTCCGCACATAATAAAACATCTGTAGAGTCCTGATTCTTAATTTCACTTCAACACTAAATGAAATACCTTGTTATTAAAGAAACAATCATTTTAGCATAAATTTGTACAGTCAATAATTTGGCTCCGTTGCTGCGTATCTGCTTTGGCACACATCTCAAACCTAAACATTCCACATAGATATATCGCTGATCTGATGCCAACCTTGCGAATCATTATTTATTATACTTTCTCTTCATCACCGCATGTTTATCAAAACATGATAACTTGAGTAATCATTCGCGTAGCGATGCCTAAACAATTTTTTTATATTAATAATAAAGAAGTATGGTAACCTTTTATGTTGATATAACGCTTGGCGATGATTACGGATTTAAGTTAAATGCACTAAAAACATTGATGAGGAAAACTTTAACTTTTTTTTTCATATGCTAAAAAAAGATTTTTTTTAATGATACTCATAGGCCAAAAGACTACATTTAGTGCTATTTGAATTAAGAATAACTGATTTATTATTCACATAAACCCATAACCAGCACCAGGGCTCATATGGCCGCACTGCGCGGCAGAACTTAGGACTGACAGAGTCTGCATTAGGTGGTAAGATATTTAGTGCCAGTCCTCAATAAGGCTTAAGTATATGTGGGAATTTATTTATTCAGAACTCTGATAAGCCTTAAGTATGTTATGTGCAACAAATAGACATAAGAATAATAAATAAATAAAGTAATATAATTCAAGCTTAATTGTCTCAATGTGCGATAGAAGCAAGATAAAATTTAACAAAACAACTTGTCATTCATTACACGCCAAGCTTATGATGCATAGCCAAGGATAGTGAAGGATAGTTAAATTTGATGACGATAGCCGCAAATTTTAAAGGTTTTCCGATATCTCAAAACAAAGGTGAAATTTTCCAATTAACGTATTTTGTAAAGAAATGTGGAGAAACAATAATAAATGAAGATGATATAAAAGAAGTTTTTCATTGTAATGACAATGATTTTCAAACATCAATCAATTAATGAATGGCAAAATCTGTAGTATGTTTCTAGATCCAGAAAATACCACTACCGTTAGTGAAGAAAGTGACTGAGAAGTTACTGAAAATGAGAAAATTTCGATTGATAAGTTAGTTAGAATTCTCGAAACAGCAGTTACAGGACTTCAACAATGTAACTAAACTAGAGATTATGTCTGTCTAGAGAATTAAAGAGAAAGTATTAGCAAAAAATTAAGCAACTTTAACAATTTGCATTGAAAGAAATGTTTAATAAGGTAAACAAATTAATATTAAGCTTTTTCTTTTGTAAATTTTGCTACCCTTTAGATCATAAATATTTCACTATATCATAAATCACAATTTCATATTTTTAATTTTATAATTTCTACATGTCATCTTACTAGATTTAAACTGATGATCTAATATCTGAAAAAAATTTGGAATCTCAGAAGTCCCAACGAGTCTGGATTTTGGACTTTGTACTGTATAACCAGCAGAACATAAATTATTTTATCCAGCACAGCGTAGTAAATCCTGATTTTATCAAAAGTGGCATATTTTAGATCAATATAGCAAAATATGAATGTTTCTATGTGAATACACATGTTAATGCATATAAATATGTACCAATTTTTCACAACTACTTCAACATATGTTAATTAAAAAAATATTTCCAAATCTACACCAAGTTGAAGAATTTCAGAAGGGGTTATAAGGTATTTTCTCCCTCCTTTGTGCATGCCTTCGTAGTGTAACAGTAGCACACTGTGCGAGTTTCAGAGAGGATATTGCTCATTTTACACGAATCCATCTTTAAAAAAAAAACTGACTCTACAGGATTTATGTATTAACAGGTGTATCTGATTTTGCATCATCATATCAAAATCTGAATTTGTAGGGAAGAGAAAATTCAAGCATTGTGGTTAATAAAATGAAATTATTAGTAAAATCATGTAAACGTGTATTTAATATATATTTATGTATTTTAAAATTAAAATATTCTTTGAATGTTTGCTAGTAGCTAAATAGCTGGTTGATATATTAAATTTTTTTCATTTCTAAAATAAACTTGCCTTTCCTTGGTGCACCACAAAGAACTTTTACATGGATGTCCTAATGAATAAATATTAAAGCAAGTTCATTTAATTGAGATTTATATGTTGTATTCCTTAACTACTTTAACTATCTATGATAAGTTTCTTTCTGTGATAGCAATAAAAATTAGCACTTCACATACAGAGAACAAACACTTGTAAAATTAATTACTTTTTTTTTTTTTTTTTTTGTAAGTGCTTTAGAAAAGAATGCTCATCATTGGCAAACCACAGGCAATGTAATGCATCAGAAGGCCTCACAAATGCCATTATTATAAAAGTGAATGAACTGATTCAGCTAGACAAATATGTAACAGTACAGATTGTCGCTTGAGAGTGGAAGTGTTTTATGTAATTATGAACCAAATGAAATTCTGTAAAATGTGCATCCATTGGGTATTTCACGACTTGCTGAAAACCAAGAAGCCATATTGTTTGCTTGTGTCTCCAATATGTTTGCTTATGCTAAGAAGCCATATTGTATGCTTTTAAAGAAGCCATATTGTATGCTTATTTTGCTTAAGTCTCCAATATGTTTGCTTATGTTAAGAAGCCATATTGTATGCTTTTAAATAAAATTGCATTTTTTGCAAAAGTATGCCACAGAAGAGTATGACTTCTTGTCATTGATAGTCACTGACAGTGAGATATGGTGTCATCATTTTGAATTGGAGTATTATTGTCAGCCTCTCCAATGGAAACATTCAACTTTTTTTCTTCCCAAAATATCCTGGGCAAGTTCTACTAGTGTCGGGAAAATGATTTGTCATTCTTCTTTGATCAGTAAAGACCAGCCTTGTTAATTTAACATAGAGCATGCAGTGAATGCACAACATAATGGAGAGACACTGGCTTCTCCAGGAAGGTTAATTAAATCGAAAAGGCCGGAAGCTTTCTGTTGATATCTCCTTCTCCATGGTTATGCTAGATACCTTGCAGCAAATGCAACAAAAATTATGAGAAAATTGAACTGAGAAATACTCAGTCTGAATCTTTCACCCTCTGATTTCTCACATTTTAGTGAGTTAAAAAAAGTGTTGAAATCCAAATTTACATGCAAACTTCTATTTCACACGTTCTTAGAAATTGATTAAGTTCTAAGTAACATCTACCCGATGTGTTTAATATCTATATGAAGTTTGAATTCCAAAAGAAGGCATTTAAGTCCAGCTAAAGGGGGGGTCACATTTATTACAAATTCCAGATAACATATATATTATTCCAGTGATTGATAGTAACTATATTAAATCCATCTTTTTCAGATGACAGTTCTTGTCTTCCATTTTAATTCTTAAAAAAAAAAAAAAAAAAAAAAAAAAAAAATTGCCACACAATAAAATAGAAACTAGTGTTTTTAAATAAAATCCATATAAGATACATAACTAGCAAAAGAATAAAACTGTTGTAAAGGGAAGTCGTGATTCTCCTCCCTTCGTTTTCTGTGGTGAAACCGGGATGTTAACACAGTGCCTACTTAGAGGGAGAAAGTAATGCAACCGAAAGCTTTTTCGGGACATTTGTTCTAGACAGACGATAATAGGAAGGACACAGAAATGGTTCTGTGAATAGCTTAAGGAATTTACGGGGTTATTATTATTTGCTTTGTGTCTCCCTGAAATATCTAGATATTAATTGTTAATAGTTTTTAGAGGTATATTATTATTACTGTTTTTCAGTGCATTTTTTATTGAATGAACTTTGTAATTGTATAGCTAATTAATGATGAATTTTTTAGCTTTTGTGAAGGATTTCCTTCAGAACCACTTGCATGCAAAGCATTAATTTTCCTTTCATACTTTGTAACTGTACTTTGTTTCTAATGATTTTCATGTTCATATTCGTTAGGCGAATGTGGAAACATCTTGTTTCTTCGCCCGGCAACGCGGTACCCCACCGACCCTCTCCTCCCAAATGGGACCTGAATACTTTCCTCAGCACGAACTCTTCTAGTCATTTCTGTACTCATTCTTCCTTAACATCCAACAATGGTAACACTGTTACCATCTGTGCCCCACCTCTCCTCTCTACTCATCCCACGCGAGCTTTGGTTTCTGGAAGTGATGACTTGCGTCATAGCAGTGCCCCTCATTTGTAAGTACTGCTGTGATTCTTTTCCTGAGAAAATAATATGTCATGTAATAATTAGTTTAGTTTATCTATTATTGACTTCCTTAGTTTCAATATATTCTTGCCATTTGAATTCATAGTGTTTAAACTGAAAGGAAATATTACAAAGTTTCTGAACAAAAACCGTAACCCTCTGAGCGTTACGGGTTTAGCCCTGAAATTTAAAAGTTCCTCAAAATGTCATTAATAAATTTTATTTTCTTGATTATAATTAAAACACAATTCTCTTTTTCCTATCTTGATTCCTTTCTTTCCAATATATAATCAACCTGAAATCAGATACATTAAATGCTCACGAAAATGCTCATGCTGCGGAAAACCTCGGACCGAACCAGCGGTCAGCGACTTTACCGCTCAGCCATTGGTGGGCCTGAGTAAAATAGAAGTAGTTCATAGTTTCATTAGGCACCCTAAATTGCTGTAATATATATTATTGGGACCACATTAATCACACCTAAACCGAGCATAATTGTTTCATTAAAAGCCATACCAGCGATAAACTAGAGGAGTATTTTATTCTTCCTCCGCATATATGAAAAGCATATAAAAGATCTTGGAATGAATGAGAGGCAAACTGTTTGAATGAACTCTAAATATTTAAATCTTTAAAAAATTATCTGCATGTGATCTGAATTTTAAGCAAGTTTGCTTCATGTAATTTCTTCTAAATATTCAGTTTTCATGGTCTATGAAGTCATGTTTGGACACTGATTTAAAAAATATTGATGCACTTTCGATACCTTGCTGATTTTCATTGGTTGCGGGTTTTCCTCTTAGGAGGGATGTATTGATAATTTTTGAGGTTTAATATATACCTGGACTCCAGTTTGAGAGCATTTATAAAAGCTTTTTTGTTTCCCTAAATTCTATTGTTTTACGTTCTGTGAAACGGGAATAAAGTGGAAATAAGTAGACATTGAACATTATCCTTACAAATCACATCAGTAAAACCAGTTAAAAAAATAAAAGGATTCAGAATAAAACGCTGTACCTCTTTCAATGCCAAAGACGGATCAGTAGTGGAAGAAACAGACATCATAGAAACAGAGTAAAAATTTAACACCGTGGATTAAATTTCTAATAATTTGCAATAGCTGTTTAATTTTTCTTGACCAATTCTACACTATGAAAGGCAGTGCAGACTTACAGAAAGTAATGATAGTTCTAACTTCTAGCATGTAATGTATACGAAAGCCAGCCTTCTAGAAGGGATTTTCCGTCCATAATGCTGAGAGGGTTAAGTACACTTCCAAGTGTACTCCTTTAATAATATGTACATTTTCATGCTGACAATCTTCCTTCTGTCCAGAGACATAAGAATAAATATGTCCCATTACTTTTTTTTTATTGCTAGGTATACGATATTACTAAAATTGGATTAAATAAATTCTGTTAGCTTGTTTACATAATTTTGCAAACAAAATACTGCACTCATATGTGTGCATCGAAGGGGTAGAAATTTTGAGGTGACAGAAAATATCAAATATGGTATTGCAGGTTCTGTAGATTGTTCAAGTTACGTAAAACTTCCGAATTTGCCATAAATTCTGGATTAAACTTGCAGAACAAAGTTTGAAGTATGCGAATGTCATCTTGGTCCACATTTAAAAAATTTTTCTTGTTGTTTGAAACTAAGGAGGTCAAATGCAAAAATTTTGTATTTCGGGTGTCCCCCCCTTTTGAAAATAATAAGTGTGTAATACCTTTGTTTTTTGGACTAAAAGTAAGTTGTTTTCCAATATGAGGCAATTCACACCAAACAGTTTTCTGTCATGGTAACATTATGTGTTGGCCATTGTCAAATTGTATTGTTCGAGTTTCCTATAACAATGTTTTTGTTCTCTAAGTATTATCTTTTTTTTTTTTTTTTTTTTTTTTTTTTCCCCCGCTGTTGAACGAACCAAGAGGTATATTTGTCATCTTTAGAAGAATTTTCCCACAATCAAAATGAGCTGATGGTGAAAGCATGCTATCTCATTGAAAATATTAAGTTGGCTCATATATCTTTCTAGAGCAGCAGTTCTCAACCTTTTGACTGGCACATACCATCTAAACAAAAGCTGAAAAACTTTAGTACCACCACTGCATTTTACAATGATTATTTTTCAGTTTGTCATTATAAATATTTAAAAAAATATTTTTCCATTTGCACAACCTATTGGCTATTTGTATTAAATATGCACTCGTAAAAAATATCAGATCAAAGATTGGTTACAATTTTAATTATCAAAATTGAAGTTATAATACTTTAATTCGAAAATTTAGTGTGAAATTTGGATCCCTTTAACCCTTTGACATGTGGTGTTTGCGCCCTGAAACCACCAATTTTCGAATTTTTTTCTCCTCTTCCTTCCAAAATTTTTGAGTGAAAATCAACTGATTACTGATCTTTTACCTCTAAATAACAAAAAATGACTTCAGAATCATACATGTTTTAGGTCTTAGTACTTCAAATTGGATGCCTTTTAAAATTCGTTTTTAATGACACAAAATTACTTCCTTTTATTAATGTAAACAACTTTAAATTTCAAAAGTTATTCATCGCACATCATGATTTCTACCATAAACAATAAAAAATAGCAATAATTAAACTGCATATATAAAAAAAAAAAACTTCTATATGTATGGCATTTGCACAATGCTCACATAAACAACCATAAATTAGGATCCATTTAAAAATTTTTTCTGTATTTATTTTTCAAATATAAATGGAAGAAAATCCATGCTGACACAAATAGGTTGTGCAAAAAGGCAGCATTTAATAGCTTTATTTTAAATGCCTTTAATTTATTTTTTCGGTTCAACCAAAAGTTAACAATTATGTTATTTTTGAAATCTTCAGTTAGAATTTTATCACAGGAAATTATCATTTTTCTTCACGAGATAAAATTTCAGGTGCATTTGAACAAAATAGATTTTTAATCCAATTTTCATAATCCTCGAGAAAGTCAGATGCTAATTCATTTTTTATTTTCAAATTGTTTCCATTGGAAAACTTTCTAAAAGTGCTAACTAAGCTTAAAATATTATTATCCAATTGTTTGATTATTAGCTCGATTTAAAAAAAAAATTAAATTTTTTTTATTGCATTTATTTTACCTCTAACGGTAAACAAATTAACACTTTGGCCTTAGTTCATTTAACTTTCCAAAAATATCAGCTAAATGTGCCAACCATAATTCACTAAATAAACATTTTTGCAATTCAGATTTAGAAACACAGAGGAAAATTTGAATTTCTGTTCAAAGTTCAGAAAGACGATTTAAAACTTAGCTTCTGGATAACCATCTTACTTCGGAATATAACAAAAATGTTTCTTGTTCACTGCCCATCCCTTGGCATAAAATCATAAGTATATTTTAATTTAAAGCTTGGCTTTTAATAAAATTAACAACTTTCACAGCTTGATTCAAAATGGTTTTCGGGGATTGTTTTAGCTACTAAAGTTTCACGATGAATGGAACAGTGAGTAAACTAGTTTCAATTCTGACTTTCTTTATTTGAGAAATTACACGGGAATGTTTTCCTATTAAAGCTGTCATTGCATATGGTGCAGCCCTTAGTGTAAAAGAAAAAATTAATGACAAAGAATTGATTGGGCGGAAGAGGCTGATTAAAACCCAAGATCTTGGGACATGCGTCTCTCTTTTTACCAGATTTTAAAGTTGCTTGGTTTTGTTTCTCAAATTGCATGAGGTACTTAAGTTTTTATATTAACTGTTTTTGTTAATCATTTTAAATATCTGATTTTTATGAATATTTTTATTTAGACCCACCAAAAATGTTCATTTGAATAATGGAGCAGCATCGAGATGACAGAAGGCCATCACTTGTCCACAACAAAAGGCAAGGGGCCTGAGGTCACTGAAAATTTCTGCCAATACTACTCCTGTCTCTTTGAAAAAAAATCAGCAATTTTTATATGTATCCCCTTCTACAGCAGTAAAACATTCCAGTTATAACTCTATACGCTCCATGCGACAAACCAGAAGGCAGCTGTTGTTACAACGTCTTTCGCCCATGGTTGAATACTTGTCTGCAGTTCCGGTCACACGTTCCCGATGCCGGAGAGGAAACGAGAATATGTGTTGTTATGAATTATCATGGAGAGAAAGCATATCACAATAAAGTTGTATAATTTCAAAATATTGTATTTTACTAGTCGAAACTGTACCATATATTCACTTAGTACTACTATTCAGAATTGACGACTGATCCATATTGCTTCATATACATGTATCTGTTACATCAAAAATTGCTTGTAATTTATTCAATTTTATTATATTGATGAAACCATATCAGAATTACACTGTAGTACTGTTTGTGTTCAGAAGAGGAATAAATCTAAAATGACACTTTTATTAGTCTATCACATGTGTTTTAATCCAAGGATATACCTAAATAGTATATGTAAATGTTAGAAAGCAGAATATAATGGTTGTTAGAAATGTAAATTAAGGCTAGCGTGGAATGTGTTAAGTTTTAAATGGTACATATATTCTGAATCTGAGAATGAATTGTTGATTATTTTTAACTTGTTAACCATATATTGCTCCGTGATACATAGTTTTTGTGCTGTAAATTTATTTTCAAGGAAATAGGTGTTTTTATTTTTTTTATTGCTGTTATTATTTACTATCCTTTTTAGCCAATGTAGTTTTTGAAACCATTTAATTTTATTTTTAAGATTTCACTGACTAAAGTATGTGTGTTTAAATTACAATGCATTAGTAAGATTTATAAAAAGTTAAGGAAGTACACTTCTAAAATGTGAGAGGAATTCAAAAATTATCCATACTTTTATTTTTCCAGTTTATTTACAGAAAAGTAAATGTTGAGCAAGTATATTGTTTTTCTGTATACCATCCTTCCTTTTTGATTCAACTGAGCCAACAGCCTACAGGCTTGCATATTCCCTCCAAGAAAAGAGTTTTTTGGTTGGCTGTGCAATTATTTATGTACAACTGACCAAAAAGATATTTCATAAGGTCATTGGCTTTTAAAAATTTTTAATGGTAAACTCTTCTTTAAAATGCTAAATTATAGCATTTTACAACAGGCTTCAAGATCATTATTTATTAGGAGGACTTGGTTAAAAAAGGTGAAATCTTGACTAGTACCGTAATAGTGATGAAATATGTATCCGCGCTGCATTTTTAGCGGTCTCTACAGTTGAATTGCAGAATAAGTATACACATTTTTCTTTTTAATAAAGGAAACAAAATTGCTCTTCCCTCTCGACATTAAAATGATCTGGCTTGTGCCTCTCTCTCTCTCTCTTTTTTTTTCTTTTACTTGGTGGTACTCTGCTTACATGTCTAAACGAGAAGTTTATGTATGAACAGAGGTTACGAATCTATTAGACTGCTATGGTTAGGTATCATGGTGCCATGGTATACGAAGATAATAGGACAAAAAATAATTCACTGTATGTGAAATCAGATGTTTCAGGCAGTCAAAAATTGATTCATCTAGTCATGTAGTGCATTCTAGATGTCGCTAAGATTCAATATTTGTCAAAAGTTTAACTGTATTTATAATTTTTACAATTGTTAAAGTGGTGAAGATAAAATAAGAATTTGTACTAAAACTATTCATTGCAATTATGAGTGTTTATTGTCTAAATATATAAAATTTAGAATTTAGATATTTGAATGGTGGTTTAAAATTACTTCGCAAGCACTACGTTGCTGACCCCTGATCTAAAGTTTTCTTTAAAGAATTTTCAGTTTTAAATCATACTAGTTATGTGGTATTACAGGGTTCCTATTTACTTGGAAAATCTTGAAGTTGGTGAAAATATCAATATTTCTTTAAAATATTAGGGAGGGGAGAGAACAGAATTTTTTCAAAATGTGAGTTAAGTTTTAAAAAGGTGTGCAGATCAATCTTCTCAAATGATAGAGTTTGTGCTTTAGATAGTAATTAGTAAATACTTCATCTTTAAAATAATAATAAACTGAAATTTTGTTTTTCTTCCTTAAAGAACTTTACTCGATCATACCTGATAAAATTTTATCACCCTATATCTTTTCTTCTCACCTGTCAGTAAACTGTTATTCTTCCTTCTGTTTAAAAATGTAACTATTCTATCACTTCTTTCTTTAAAATTGTAATTTAGAAATTACTGCACTGTACTTTTGTGCATCATTATAAAGAACTATTATGTATTTCTAAATGTAAGCTGTGTGATTTTTGCATCAAAATTCAGCCGAAATTGATAATCCATGTATAAGCCAAATTTAAAATTGCTCTGTAAACCCAGCAACATGCTTCCAGAAGTTATACATTAGTCATCTAACCTAGACATATCAAATAGGCTGAAAGTGAATGCCAAGTTGTCATCCTTTCGGAAAGCATGCCAGAGACATTTGTCTTATTTGTCAAAAAAATTTATTTTGTTGGCAGTATTATGCTTTGGTTTTGGTTTATGTAATTATGGCAAAGCCTCAAGGGATATCTGCCTAAGAGGAGGGACGCCTTCATGGAAGACATTCTAAGGGAAACTGGCTCGAATACATGTTACATACGGGGAAAATCTTGAAAACACCATGCAGCGAGCCCATTTGTGGGATTCAAACTTTGGACCAAACTACCAATGTCCAGTAACTTTACCACTCAGCCACGGGTGGGTCTTGGCAGTGTTATGGATAGAATAGAAGGTGATGTATATGATGCAGATGATATTGACGTTAATGATGGATTAAAGATGCTATTCATCGTAAGTTAGGGTATTTAAATATGATAAAGCCATGAGGGTTACCTGTCTCAGAGGACAGGGATGCATTCATAAAGGACTTTCTCAGAGTAATTAGCTCATATTTATGTTACACATGGAGAAAACAGTGAAAATCAACCACGTAGCCAACTCACTTGCTTGGATTCAAACCAAAGCAGGATGATGTGCCAGTATTCAGTGATCTTAGTTACTCGGCCACTGATGAGGCAATGTCTTGTGAATCATTTTGAATCCAACTCCCAAATTTCCATAGCAAGAAACTTTCTAAAAATTCTTGGCTTATACATGGAAATAAATGGTATATTAATCTAACATAGTTTACATTTTAGTGTAATTCTTACCTCCTCATTTTTATTTCAAAGCTCCAAAAGAGTAATATTTATTATGAATAATATGTTCTTATTAATCCCTCTTCCCCTCCCCCCCTTTTTTTTTTAGAATTCCTCTTCAAAAAATTGGTATTTCTTAAAAAAAAAAAAAAAAAAAAAAAAAAAAAAAAAAAAAAAAAAACTTATCTAGTATCTTGAATGTGTAGATGCATATTTTATAATGGAATGTCTTTCATTTGCTTTGCAATAATGAGTTAATTAAATTTTTATTGTGATCCTTTGTTATTTCATTATATCCTGTAGTAAATGCATAATGCATTCAGTTTTCTATTGTTAAATAATGAAGAATCTGTGTATATATATGTTTACCTTGCACGGTAGAAAACTGGTTGTACCTAGAGCCATTCAATTTTGAGTACATATAAGTCCTCCACCCAAACATGTGTACTTGGAAAGCCAAATTTTGAATTTATTTCTTGTTTATGTTATATTTTATATGAACTAATGAATTTTGCAGAAGAAACTCAGTAAATAAAAAATGAGCAGTAGAAATACTGTTTAAAATAAAACATTTTTATCTTTAGCATGCAGAATTTTGCTATTTGTCAAAGTAGAAAATATTTATTTTTCAATTTCAGTCAACGAACTCAGCTGTTTAAAAGCAGTTTGTTGCCTCTGCTTGAAATAAAGCACTTTTTATCTTTTATGCATCAACATGTAACTGTTCGGAGCATAAGACAGGGTTGCCACGCTACCTGGAAAACCGGAAAAAGTCAGGGAATTCGGAAATTGACCAAAAAATTCAGGGAAAAGTCAGGGAATTTAAGTGTTTCAGTCAAAATCTGGAAAAGTCGGGGAATTTCATACAACAATCCCACCAAAAAGGGCGAATTTTGCGCCGACGTCGGAAGAGATCACTTTTTTGGGGAATTGTGTATCACGTGAGTGTCATTCAGGCAGCTGGCATAGAGCCAATTTTTGCAGCTCCAATTTGATTGTCTTTTTAGAAAGGCAAAGCAAGTTTCCCGCAACTTTTGGTTTCCAGTAACCTCGAGAATCGCATGTGCAGTGCATGAACTAAAGAAAGTACCTGTTCTCGTATAAAACAAAATGGGTTTAATCCTAGTATACGATACCATGATGGTTAGAATTAAAAAATATATATTGTAAAGAAGGAAAACCTCTCTGCAACAGACGTGGCTCCGTTCCATCATAGCGGGAAACAGCTGTGCATGCGCGATATATCTGTCACCAAAGCTCGAAACCGGTGTCAAAGTTCGAATGTCACGTTATCAAGAGTTCATAAAATGAATATCGTTTAAAATTTCTTTAAACTCTAAAGAAAAAGAAAATATTTTTTGGCGCAAGTAAATTAATTCATGAATTAGTTATTTTGAGGTGGGGGGGGGAAATCTGCGAAAATCCGTTTTTTAAATTATTGCGAAAAATCCAAGAAAAATCGTTCTTTGATAAAACATTTTTTCTTGGATTTTTCGCAATAATTTAAAAACGGATTTTCGTAGTTTTCTTTTTTGTCAAAGAACGTTTCTTCTTAACACGTGTTTCTCAATTTTCTGTACATCGCGAAGACGGAAATTCTGGCGCCAGGTTCCGTCGCCAAATCTCTTGGCAAATTTACCCTCCGCTTTTTACAAAGACGTTCTTTGGTTAGAATAATCTCCATGTATGGTACAGCGGGATTTGGCGACATGATGATGAGTGGTAAACAGGTCATTTTGTTCGTGGCGACAATTTTCAAAATCATGCGAAAGCCGTATCGTATGCTAGGATTTTACTGCAAATTTTTTTTTTTCTTTTCTTTTCTTTTCTTTTTAATAAATACCTTTTCATTTTGCAGTAAAATAAAAAATAGTAATCAATCATCTAGGATAACCATGTAGTATAACTATATTCGCTAAAATATCGTTGATTATTCTAATTAAATTTTTAAGTAATTATCTTTATTTTTTATGTTATTCATATCATTTAATGTTGATTCTTCCCTCTAAATTTATTTATCATTAGTAAGTAATATTTCCAAATTTCAGGAAATTTTCTATGGCATAATCCTGAAATTAATTCTAGCAGTATGATGATATCACAAAATTTAATGCATATATTTTTTCCTTATGTATGCTGCAAAGTAAATATAAAATACCTCAATTTATTAAAAAAAATATCATTAAATAGATTTCTTTCTTTCATTTAGCTGCAGAATGTCTGCAAAAAAAGCCTTATTTTATTCCAGATTGGGCAGATTCTAATCTCAATCTTCAGTGGAGAAAACAACTCC